GTTTGTAGTACTCCCATTTGTCACCAGTTATATTATACGTCTCATGTAATAGGGAGTGAGCTTATTACCATACACCGGGCACAAATCCAAACCCCGTGCCACTACTGGGAATTTTAAGTTAGAAAAAACCAATAATACTTTGCTCGACCCCTCATCGATCGAACCCAGGTCCTCTTGCTCAGCAGTCACCACTAGTCTAGACGAAGTAAGTCACTCAGCAAATTAATCAAATTTTAAGCTTATAAAATTTTATTAAATATAAATAAAAATTTAACAAGAATTTAAATTTTAGTATTTTAAGTGGAGTGAGCTTAAAAAAAAAATATCTAATCGCTCGGGGTCTAGACGACTCCTTTCGTCAGTAGTAATATTTCCTACAACAAAAAAAGCGGATGCAAGAAGCAGATGGTTGAAATATGCAAAAGTATTTCTTAAATTGTTTGGAATATTGCTAGTTCTTGAATCAGTCAGATTCGAGAAGTTTTTGGATGGAATCATCGAACCGATGTAGTTGTTCTACATCGATCTGAAAAATATTTTACTTTAAATAATCGATTTTCCGACTAATCGATTTCAACATTTTGACATGTCTACCCTTGAGGACTAAGCCTTGTTTCCAGTAAAAAGGGTATTTGGTTCTCTTCATTTCATTTCATAACCAATTCAATAATTTATGGATACACACGAAAATTGGAACGCAAATATTACATATGAAATTTATGCAATGAAATATTTCAACTTGAATAATATCTGTCTACTACAGTCGGTCGTAGCTGAGACATAAAAATTCTGATATACAATTCCAATATCAAAGCAAATACGAGTATCTGTATGATGTCGCTGTAACAGGGTGCGTGTTCTGAAATACAAATAAATATTTGAATAACGTGATGTCACGATAACAGGTGGTTTCATTTATTTATGTTTTGATTTCTTATGTTTACGCGATAACAACATATTTAAATGAAACTAGTTTTTACGGATTTTATCGTGTATCGGCAAGTTACTTTCTACGTGGTAGAGCCATGCTGCAGCTATATTAATGGTATAGTTGTAGCACGAATGGGTCGACTCGACCGGGGAAGGACCACGCTCTCACAGAATACCAGCGTAAAATAGCAGCTTAACGCTGCTGTGTTTCGTATGGTGAGTGTAGAGAACCGGAGACCCTTTTTACTTTCTTTTTACTGGCAAAGAGGCATTCCATCTTAGTCCTCACGGGTGTCTTTATTGAGGATAGATGTAGATGTCTATGGGTGCACTTACCATCAGGTCCACTTACCATCAGGTGGACTGTGTGCTTGTTTGTCACCCGATCCTATAAAAAAAATACTTATTTTATCGTGTTTCGAGTACTTTGCAACATCTATTGTTACGGGACGACCGAGTTTTTCATCATCCCAATGTCATAGTTAACCTCGGCAACCTTCAGTTTATATATATTAAGTATCTTGAAGTCTTGCAGTTGTATGCTTGGTTTTGATTCGATGAAATCAGATATTTAATCAATATTTTTTTTTAGTAATTAATTTGGTTTGGAAAATTGATAGGTATTAGGATTTTCCTCTGCATCGTGGAAGTAAATAGCATCATAACACAAGAACAAACATCCGGAATCGGAATAATTATTTGTAGGCCATACAAATACTTGTTCCGTGTGGTATTCGAACTCGCAATCCTCAGTGCCGCAATTCAATGCTAACTCACTCCGCTGCGTAGCTGTCTAAAAGTTAGAAAAAAAAAGAAGAACGAAGAGGAAGATAGAATCCCAGGCTAAGCCAACATTTGTGCACAAACCTTTGAGTATAGTGCACGCACTTATGCAACCACAATATATCCCAATCAGTTTATAGTTTCCAAAACTATTAGTCAGCTATTGTGGTGGTAAGAATCAGTCAGTGTTGTTATTTGATATTTTTATATTAAGAAGAGTAACAGAGGAGCGTCTCGTCTAATCTAAGAGGATTCTGGGGCCCAAACATCTAACGTAAATCCATTGTCACCTTTAAGTAATAGATGGAATGTCCCGTTACCAGTAAAAAGGGTCTCATTTTCTCGTCACTTGTATGAAACATAGCAGCATTATCGCATGAGTAAAGAAACCGAAGCATTATTTTACGTTGGTATCTATAGGGTAGGCCTATGTTCTCTGTGAGGCTCTAATGAGTGGATGGATGGATTCTATTCGTGTAGCAGTAATGTCATGTAGACCGAAATTCGGTCACAGCGGCCAGACTCAACGAAGACTAACCATCAGCACAGGACAGGATTATAGTGCCAAGTGTATGTGCAAGTACAGAATTAGTGTGTCCCTCACTCATGAGTTGCCTCATTTGAGGTTCTCGTGACGGCAAATCGAAAGAGTTACTCGAATTTTAACATTAAAACATCTCACTCACTCGTTCACGACCTCGCTTTTGACTGACAATATGAATCGTGTGCCGAGTGAGTTAGCTAACGACTCGATTAAAAATAGTTCAAGTAGCTATCGAGATTATGTATTTTGCAGCAATATTAAATGAGTGAGGTGTCGATATTAAGGAAAAAAACAAAAATAATTTTTGAGTAACGGAATTTGAAACAATCAAGTCACATATTATATGAGTGTGAATAAAAAAAAGCGCTATTTTGTGATCTCTAATTTTATTGCGTCCACTGGTAACGCCTGTTGTAACATAATAATATTATAAATATAATGAATATGGTAATAATATGTCCTCCTTTCAAAAAAAACTTTTGGAAGGAGGCGACTCACCGTATGAGATGAATACACCGACTAGTAATTCCTCACCAAACCAAATGAGAGGTATCTCGTGAGTACCTCGCTAAGTAAAATGAGTTACTCCCTCATCCTCAAATTAAATAGATGAGTAACCCATGACTAGTACAGATGTACTCTTTATTCACTCATGCTCATAGTCCGATGAGAAGGTAAAGGTAAACCGACAAAACGGCAAAACCGGCGAGAGACCAACGACTTTACGTGTTTTCCGAAGCACAGGGGTAAAACACCTGTTTAACTCCTGTTCCACCCCAGGATTGAGCAGCATAACGCTAAGGAACCCACAATATCGACAACCCCACGGTCCTTAAGTAATCCGTGTGTATCAAACAACATCGCGACTCAAGTAACGCCCAACGCCATCTGTTGACGACAGCGCAAGCCAAATCAGTACGAACACCGCCAATTTCCTGACTCCGAGCAGTTAGTAAGAATTTCTTGACGGAAAAACTCAATAACTGATTTCTTTTTTGACCCGAACCGGGATTCGAACCTAGGAGCTCATGATCAGAATTCTCGTTAAACACTAGTCAAACGTGCAGTAATAAAAGCATGGCTCTATCATATATCATAATACATTTTATAATTATGTTGAAGTTATTATTTTTATTGAACAAAAAGCTACAACCTTTTTCTTATTTCATCATAATCATTATCATTTCGACCAAACTTCACTGATAAACATAGGCTTCTCCCATAGATTACCTGGGGTGATATTTGCCATAGCTCCACGCCGCAAAAAATGCCGTTGACAACCCGCCTGCCAAGGCATTATTTATTACTATGTGTTTTTATCATGTTGTTACCTATCTCGTATTTCATTTCCCTCTGTTACCTCTTACGACTCTTTTACGCCGTCACCACATGGATATTCTCTATATTATTATTTTTTTTTGCTCTAAAAACAATTACTATATATAGGCCTCTTACGTTGTAGGGAGAATCGATCATGATATCAGGGTCTGGTTATTTTAAATTTGACATAAACAAGTAGTGGCGCTAACCGTGGTGCCGTAAGAGTATCCACTATCCCAAATCGTACCACAGGTGTCGTAAGGAACGCCAGAGGGAACCCGGAAGATGGGCAGCAGCGTCTTCCCGATAACAACAAGATATTTATTATTTTATACATGGTGGAGGCGTGTTGCAGCTATTTTCTATCGACTCCAAACAGGAAAGGTACTCAATTCGACTGTATGTTCTTTTATGTGTGTTACTTCATATCTTTTTTCTGGGTGAACCGATTTCGCTGATTCTTTTTTATTTGAAAGCTGGTTCTTCACATGTGGTCTCATATAAATTCGATTAAAGTCTGACCAATAGTTTTTGCGTTATTATTAATAATTTACATTGGAGTCGGTTGTATAAAATTTTTAATTTTTAATTGCCTATAACCATCTATCACTAATGGATCGGATCAACCGGTGAAGAACTACACTCTCACGGAATACCTATGTAAAATAGAAGCTTAATGTTGCTCCGTTTTGTATGGTGTGTGTAGAGAACCGGAGACCGTTTTTATTGGTAACGAGGCATTCCATCTTAATCCTCAAGGGTGACAACGCGTCTGCATTTTGATTCTTAATGGAGGATAAACGTAGATGTCTATGGGTCTCAGCATCAACTTACCATCATTGTCTGTGTGCGCGTTTGCCACCTTTACTGTATTAAATAAGTGAGCGTGCTATCCCACGCTCACGTTCAGCCGTGGACTTAAAAAAACTAAAAGAATAAAATAAAAAGTACATACGTAATAAAGTGTTATATAAACAAATAAACATCATAATATATTATGAAATGAATGAGAATTTACGAGAATATTTTCTTTTAGAAATCGTAACTGCTTCGAAGTTCAATAACAAGTAATCTAATTAGGATCGTTACATTTATTTGTACAAACCGAAAGCGAAACTTTCAGTTCATTAGCGCATCATTTAGCGCCAGCCTTCGAAATATAGTCGCCTCGGGCTCGAATGTCATTGTCATTTGTTGTTTTGAGGAGATACCATTGAAGGGCACTGTGGAAGAGAGCTTAAAAACTAAGAAATCTGTAGACTTGCAAATAATACTCATTGAGAAATATCTATATTAAAGAATATTCTAGATCTCTCAACTTTTGTCTCACTACTGTTTAGTGTCACATTATTTTTTAAAAGATAACATTTGATAATTTTTATTCATACCATAGCACTAATTTTGAATTTTTCTTAGTACTAAAATGAATTTAAAATCAATTTTAACAATTGTACTAGTGTTTTTAACAGTTACTTGCAATTGTAATGTAATTGGATACAGTGATGTCGATGAAGCCAGAGGGAAGAAGAAAAAAATCGCGTTATTTGGTAAGTCGATATACACCTAATTAAATAATTAAAAATATTTTAAATTACTTATTTATGCTTTGCATATTGCTATCACCTGACATAAAAGCACAAAGGGCGGATTTAATGCCTTTGGGTATTCTCTCCCAGTCTTTGAAATAGTAGGACTCGCCTAAGAATACACTTGGTAAATTAAATAATTTCAAAGTATTTTGCCGCCAGTCACAAGCGCGTGATATGCTGTGTGCACCAGAATAATTACAGGCTGTAAGGCATTTTAGTCCTTATTACCCTAGTAGTCCGTAGTAGTAACCTTTCTTGTTTGAAGTTGCTTGTAGTTGCTATGCAGTAACCACTTACCATCAGTTGAACTGTAAGTTCATTTATTTGCCAATTTAATATTGTAAAGAAAGAACCTCGCTCGTATCTACAAACACACACCATAGTTCCGTTAAAGAGGGTAATGATCCAAGGTGTCAGGTGGAACGGGTTTACTACACTTTATCCATTTTAGTTAAAATCATAAGAAATTTCGTACATATATGTAATGCAAATTTATATAGTGACTTTGTTTTAAAGATATATTTTCCTGCTATACCTATGAAAGCGTGTTTTTTTTTACAAAAAGCAAAAAAACTTGTTAATTTTGCAATTTAATTAACTGCAAGGTGAAAGTTCATAGGGTCTCATTTGTTTTTGTGCAGATATTACGTTTGGAATGTATAGTTTTTTTTTTAACGGACTAATTTTTGGTGGAAATAAAAGGTGGACCCCAAAATACGAGTACAGATATAATCACTATGTAGGTACAATGGAATAAAAAAAGGAAATTTTAAATTACGTTTTTTTTAGAATAAGTGGATGATATTGCCTATAGACACCACCTACATCTATCTTCAACTAGGAATCAAAATGCAGGTAGGACTTTGCATCTTATTTGCAGAGTCCTACGTTAATAGCCGTAAATGTGATGCTGGTACTACGTATTCTTTCAACCGTTCAACTCCTAACGTTTGTTCGACCCTTATAGAACCAGATCGAAACGCTAAACGATTTGATATATTTCATAGACTACGTAAAATTTAGAATCAAAATGCAAATGTCTGGTCACCCCTGATGACTAAGATGGAATGCCTCTTTTCCAGAAATAAGAACATCCGGTTTTCTACATTCACAATACGAAACACAGCAGTATTAAGCTGCTATTTTACACTGGTATTCTGTAGGTACGCTCCTTCTGCGGTCAGTAGCCGACCCATCTGTGCTACAAACTATACGTGGTAGAGCCATGTTGCAGCTATATTAGTAGTATAGTTGTAGCACGAATGGGTCGGCTCGATCGGGGAAGGACCACGCTCTCTCGGAATGTCAGCGTAAAATGGCATCTTGACACTGCTGTGTTTCGTATGGTGAGGGTAGAGAACCGGAGACCCATTTTACTGGAAAAGAGACATTCCATCTTAGTTCTCACGGGTGACGACGCATCTGCATTTGGATTCTTTATTGAGTATAAATTTAGATGTCTATGGGCCGCAGCAACTACTTACCGTCAGGTGGACTGTGTGAGCACACAGTCCATTTGTCACCCTACCCTATAAAAAACCATAAGATGGCTGCAGCGTGGCTCTTTCACGTATTAAAATGATATTTTTCAAATGAGCGTTCGCGATAATGCTTGATATCTAAGTGTCGATGTAGGAATTGCTGCAGATTCACGGCTGATGCCATTGCCTATCCCCGCAGTCGCCGCTATCCACCGTCATCTTCTTTGTGTGTAAACAACACAGATACCAGCATATAGTTTTTAAAAAAGTACAGATATGAAAAGGGTCCCTTTAATGATTTTATATTTCACTTATCCGTCCCGGCTTTACCTGGAAAGGCTCTATTTTAATGTGGCGATATTTACACGTAAGATAATAAAAAACCATTTATTTTGTGAATTTTTTGGGTTTTTTTTCTTAACTTTATCTGGAAGTTTTTTGGATAAAATACAGCCTATATCAGTCCTACTATTACTCTCCATATGCTCGTTTGGATTCGTTACAACAGCTTCAACTATTCCGAAGATAGCCCGAACAGACAGACAGACAGATAAAATTAAAATGATTAATTATGTCTCAATGGCATGGAAAGTTTTCTCCTTAGCTCAATGTCAGGCATTTATTTCGACATAACAAACATACAACAAAATTTTATTTATATGATGTATGGATTTACTAACATTTTTTTTATTTACAGTATACTGGGCTGACATTGTAATAAAGAAGATATTTGTGCTGAAATTGATATACGCCTTCGTATTTTGGGTGGTTATTCACAAAGCAGGCTACTTTCTGACCTGGTTCATCAGCTATCTTAAGGAAAAGAAGCACGAGCACCACGATCATCATGCCCATTATATCCCTCATCATCATTATGATTACGAACCACCCGGCAGCTACGGACCGCCGAGTTACGAACCTTACAGAAGACAGAGCCATCGTGTATAGTAGTCATTTATTATTCTGAACAGTGTAAATATAGATATGTATAATGCTTGTATGCATTAAGTATACGCCTTAGAGTATGCCCTTTGTAAACTTTCTTTGAGTATAGCCCATTTCGTCCGAAACACCTCATTTCGTCTCGTGGGTCGTCTGAGGTGACAATTGGGTGAGGTGACATAGTTACATTACAAAGAGAATATTAATTAATGTTATTTTTTATTTACGACTGAACTTTGCGCACTTATTTGAACATTAATTCAAAGTCCCGTGCTACATATGGCTTCAAACAAGTGTTCAAATGTTTGAAGCTGTATCTGGCGCCGGCTTTATAAAACCGATGCGACAAAGACAACCTTGCAATCCACCTGATGGTAAGTAAGTTTCGCAGCTATGGACACCTGCGGCCATTTTGTGGTAGAGCCATGCTGCAGCTATATTAGTAGTATATTTGTAGCACAAATGGGTCGGCTCGATCGGGGAAGGACCACGCTCTCACAGAATTCCAGCGTCAAATAGCAGCTCAACACTGCTGTGTTTCGTATAGTGAGTGTAGAGAACCGGAGACCCTTTTTACTGGAAACGAGGCATTCCATCTTAGTCCACACGGGTGGCAACGCATCTGCATTTTGATTCGCAAACGAGGATAAATGTAGATGTCTATGGGCCACAGCAACCACTTACCATCAGGTGGACTGTGTGGTCGTTTGTCACACTATACTATAAAAAAAAAACTTCAAACGAAGAAAGCTACAGAGGCTTTGTCACCTCTGAGGACTAAGATGGATTCGTTTCAGATCGAAACACATCAGCACAAGCGTTGTTATTTTGGTTGCAAAAACAATTATGACGGTAGAATGTACCACGGATGCATTTACTAGTATTTATCTGTATTGGGTTATATATTAACATTTATTTATGAATTACTTATTTATTTATTTATCTCTTATAAAGGGAGGGTTACAAAGTGCTTAATGCCTTATAGCATTCTCTACCAGTCAACTCTGGGAGGAATAACTAAAATGTTGCAACGATGTAAATTACTGATGTAATAATTAAACATAGTTATAGAAATAGAGTGACAAGATAGATTTAGCATAATTAATTAAGTGTATAATAAAGTGTATTAAAATAGATTACTTATAAACACTTCTTAGTTTCTTTTAACTGAATGTTATGAGACATTTCTGAAAAAAAAACTGTATGATGTCTGTAAATACTATATCAGACAGTTTCTATGTATGAATTATCCCACAATTAAATCTTACGGAAAATTGAATATCGCTCCGTGGGTGTTATAACAGGCGACAGAAGAAAAAAATCCAGATAAGCAGCAGCTTTTTTATAGAAATAGGGTGACAAACGGGCACACAGTCCACCTGATGGTAAGTGGTTGCTGAGGCCATCTACATCTATCCTCGTTTACGAATCAAAATGCAGATGCGTTGTCAGCCTTGAGAACTAAGACGGAATGCCTTGTTTCCAGTAAAAAGGGTCTCCGGTTCTCTACACTCACCATACGTAACACATCTGCATTAAGCTGGTATTTTACGCTGATATTCTGTGAGAGCCGACCCATTCGTGCTACAACTATACTACAAATATAGCTGCAGCTTGGTTTTACCACGTACAAAACATATTCCTAATAATAACTAAAAATAATAAATAGTCTGCTAATCCGACTACCAAGCGTGGAAAATGTAACAAATATCCCCCCTAAAAGTAAACTAGAACCATCAAGCAGTATGTAGTGACGACGATAGAATATCCACTACCCCATATCATTTCGTGGGTGTAGTGAAAAGCAACAGAGAGATATGATACAGGAGATAGACGGCAGCATCTTTCCGATAACAACACAATACTAAAAAAAGGACGATTGCCAATCGTGAATGAATGTAAATATAGGTGATATTAAAGCAAATATGAGGTAATCTATGGGGAAGGCCTATGCTCTGCAGTGGACTTTTACAGTCTGTAAAACGGTGACGGTAACAGCCCATACACGTCCCATTTCTGGAGACAGGCCTCCTCTTATTTCTGATGTGTTCATGTCTCTTCGAAATATTTTTATCCCTCAGAAATGCACGTTTTCTCTCGATGTTTTGTATGAACGTGAAATGAAAGAGTTTAGAAACGAATTATCTTTTTATAAAGAACATATTCTACTCACCACGTTGATTATAATATATATCTTGATAGTAAAGTAATTTTTGAGATAACTAAACCTTGAGCAAAATAATCGATAAATGATAAAAAATGTACATATTCCGTGGCAGGTTACGCAGAAACTATAAGTGATATCGATGTTATATATTATATTAAAGGTTGATAGCAAATTCATGTATCGAGTACGGCAAAAACCGCGCTTCGGGACACTTTCTGGGCCGGGAAGAGGGGCGTGACGCTCACCCGGGAAGCGAAGGGAGAGTGGAAAAAATTAACTTCGCTTTATAAGTTACATATGCCGATAGATAAAAGTACTCCATTTTACCAACTTTTCCATACATTGCTATCTAAAATGCTTGAACTAGGTGTCGGTGAAACCGCGGGGCACAGCTAGTAATCAATAAAATTAAATTCTAAACTTCAAGATACTGTAAGCCCGTTCTGCATAGATTGTACCAAATATTAATATTCAAAAGCAGAAGGCAGCCAGGATTATTTTTCTTACAGGAAACAGAAAGAAAAAGAAAATGGTGAATTAATAGGAAACATAAAACGATGTGACATATTGCAAGAATAAATTGTCAACTTATTCTCTCTCCATTTTGCCTCTCCATTTTGTAGACGCAAAAGACGATAAATCTGGCAGACATTTTCAATACGGATAAGTAGTCGCCCCCGTGATCATGGGTGCTGTAAAGCACGCGAAAATTAAAAAGTTAAAATTAAACGCGATAAAATTCGTAAAATTAGTTACATATAATGTGTAGTATTCGCGTAAATAGAAACAATAAATTATTATAATGGTACGTATCTTCATACTTGTTGGCGACCCACTTAAAAATTAGTTTATCGTTTTTCATTCCATAATCATAAATAATTTTGTGCTTTGAAGTTATTGCTATTAAATTATATAAGGCACTTTGAATAAAGAGATAATCTATGTTAAAAGTAAATAGATTCAGTATAATGTCGAACGACAGTTCGGGGTTCGTTTCCCCGGTCGAGAGTTAATTCCATGAACGTTATTTATAGATTAAAGACTCATGTGTTACATAGTAATCAGCTATACAATGCGAATAAAGTAAATACTTATTTTAGATGAAAATATATTTTGCTCTTTTGATAAGAGATAAAATTCATTATGGCTAGATAAGAATAGCATATTATACAATACAATACAATACAAACACTCACGCCTGTCTATGGGTGACAGAGACTACGGTAGGCAGAGACTACGGACTTCCATTTGGCGCGATCCTGACACACTTCTCTCGCCTCCTTTACATCCATATATTTACGCATACACGCTCGTCGGTTAAGGGTACTCCTACTCTGGCCCAATTTCAATGTATCTTATACATTATACTTAGCATATTATGTAGACAAATAATGCTTCATAATGAACACAGATAGTTGTAATTCAGACAAAGAAACCACTAGTCTCCTACTGATATGATTGGGTCGTGTAGGAATTGGTTGTTAATGTTGTATGGGATCCAAACAGGGTCTAAATGATGTACCGTAAAAATAAAGAAATAAATTTAATTAATTTGTGAAAATATCTGTAATGTAAGTAGAAATAACTAATAAATGTTTCAGGTTTATTATATGTGTTAATAAGAACAGCATTGTGTTAAAAGTGCCTAAATTTGTGAATTAAACTATTGTATTAGCTAATATATTCATGTTTATTAATAAAGCTTGTTATTTTAACCACGTGTGTTAGATATTTAAGATTTCTAACTTTGATAATTTTTTGTAAAATAGGTATATTTTGTTGAATATTTTAATTTATATTTATGTCATATCGATGTAATGTATATCATAATGATAAGACTCTGTGTGTGATTCTTATAAATAAAATTGTGTAACCATAAGTTTTATAGAAATAAAGATATGGGGTAAAATACAAGGGTGCAATGGTGAAAATCAATGTTAAGATAAGTCGAAAAGGCGCGCGGTGCGCGGTTCTCTTTCGCGTATAGCTTGCGACTAGGATAGTAAACTGGTAGTTTGGAATTCATTTGGAGGATGACTGTAAATGTTGGGAAAACGGCCGCCCTCCTCACCCGCCGCTACCGGAACTTCCCGCCCCGTTGACGCTTAGAGGCCAGGAGATTGCGTACGAGAAGGCCGTGACCTACCTTGGGTGCCGGATTGACAGGATGTTGCGCATGACAGCGCATGTCGACATCGTCGTCCGCAATGCCAGATGTACGCGGGCGATGCTCCGTCCAGTCCTTGCATCCAAACTACCGCTGAAGGCCAAGATAAAGATCTATAAATTGTATATAAGACCGAAGATCACCTACACCGCGCCGGCCTGGTACGCACTCCTGAGCGAACGGCAGAGGCAGCGGCTGCAGGTTCAGCAGAACCTATCTCTACGGACCATCGTCGGTGCAGGTCGCTACGTCCGGAATGACGTCATCGCGGCCAACTTAAGGATGGAAACCATCAAAGAATTTGTGGCCCGATTAGCGTGCGGTATGTTCGATCGCGCTGACAACGGGCCGCACGCACATGTAAATAACATCGCACCTCTACATGCTCGGCCACCGGACGGGCGACCTATACCAAGAGAACTCCTTTCTATATCGATTAGAGAGTCGAGTAAAACACGCAATGCCGCAGAAAGGCCAACCCAGACACCTAGGCTGAATTAGCCGCCTATAGGCGACTTACACGGCCAGGCATATTCAGACAACCATAGGCCAAATTAGGCGCCTTTTTCAGGCTTAGGCCAAATTAGGCGTCTTTTTCAGGACGTTAGGCCAAATTAGCCGCACCTTTCAGGCAAAAAATCTTTCTCCCCACGCAGCGACCGGGAAACCAAA